CAGCAGCAGTAAATTTCCACTTTAAGAACAGTATCCTGCAACCCAAAAGCAACCGAGTTTGGCATATCACAGACTTTATACTATGTTGCTCATCCAGACAAAAAACACAGTTTATAGAGGAAATGGATTTCATATTAGTTTATAACCACACGCTTACTCAATCTATTCTGTGGAAATGTTTTTTCCCCTATTTTCTATCAGATTATTTCCTTGAACAATTTGATCGTAGCCAATTTTTCTTTTTAACAGCCAGAGTAAACAATTTGCTCCCATTTCTCATTTTTACACCATGGCTCAGACAAATAGTGCCAAAATATAGGTCTCACAGGGAAACTTTGGCATTTTCTAGATAAACATGATTAGACATTAGAAAAGATTTTACTTAATACAGAAAAACAAAAATGTATTAAAAAAAGTCATACTCTCAATTAGTCTGTCCAGCTGAAGGCTTAAGGATAAGATGCAACCCTCTAAAGTTTGCATAAAGATCCAAAAGAGATTCCTCCTATTGCAGCCTTTATAATCTGATATCCCACTAATTCAGATCTGGGTTTACAAATGGCCGTTACCTGAGCCTCCAGAAAGCTGATGGTATTTGAAACCCTTTATACACTAAATGCAAACTGTAGAAATGAAGTATTCTTATTGAAAAAAAAAGGAAAAATAAAAGTGCATTTACCCTAATATTTAAAACACACACATACATATACATATACATAATACACACACATATATACATACATATATACATACACACACAAGTTCACATGCAGCATTAGTAGATATAGTTTATAATGCAGCATTAATCACATGACCAGGTACCAGAGCAGAGCAATGGTTCATATCATATCAAATTTTTCAAACTGTTTAACCCCTTTGTGACTAACGACGTACAATGTACGTCGCCAGCATCGGGGCTGTATAACCCTTTCGCTGCCAAGGACGTATGGCATACGGACCTACAAAAGTGCTTCCAGCTGGCCAGGTCAGTATGCCATACGGACCTGGCATTTACAGTTCTACTATAAGCTGATGGTCGCTTTAGCGACCATCAGCTTATAGTATAACTGTTCAGCAGACTGTCCCCTTTAAATTAATAGCTGTCATCAGCGGCTCACAAGCCGCTGATGACTGCTATTATCAAAAATACCGGGCGCC